TTTATTTTTTACCTAATTGAGACTGACCAGAAGCCTGTTGTGAATTAGCAGGGCTGTGAACCTGTGCAGAGCGAGCAAGTGTAATGCACTGCAAGCGCTTGGACAATTGCAGGCCTGAATTATTGATGGGGTTTCTGTTTTTCCTAAGTGCATCATGATAGGCAACTGGAACCAGGAGAATTTGTTGCTTCCTTTCTCTCTCTCTCTCTCTCGGATGGGGGGTCTGGTGCTGAGAGCTGTTGATGTTCACTTTCGAGGGGCGTACAGCCAGCTGGCTGTCCTCAGAGTCCCTCAAGCTGACAGGGCAAGGCGAATTATTTGAGCGATGTGGCCATTTTTCTTGTCCAGTCGGTGCTGGGGACTGTGGTGGCACAGGAACAAGTTCCTTGGTTGGTGCATCCCTCCTTGTCAGCCTGGTGGGTGGGTTTGGCTCAAGATCCCGGAGCTCCTGGTGTCCCCGCAGGGGCTCAGCCACCCGGGGTGAGCGTCTGGGTCCTTCCTGGCTCTGGCCATGGCTGGTGGTGACGGGCTGGAGGAGAAGGGCTGCTTTGCTCACGCCTCACAGCAGTCGGGGGTCTGCGAGGGGTGTCCAGACATGGTGACAAACCTTGCCACTTGCTTAGCAGATGCCCCAGAGACACAAACAAGCAGTAAATCTGCAGGGAGGGCTGTGTCCTGGCAGTCAGAGCTGGTGTGATTCTGTCCCCCCATCCCTGGTAGCAGAGGGCGGTTGGAGTGAGTGCCTGGTGTATCTCTTGGTAGGGAGGTGGGTCAGGGCTGATGTGGCAGAGGTGGTTTCTGGCTTTCTAGGTGCTTGGGTTGAACTTTGCCCAAAATCCTCAGTGCTGAGGGAGTGGCCTTAGCTCCAGGAATCCCAGGTCCATTGGGTGATAGTTCTCTGGAGACTTGGGTCACGGAGCAGGGCTGGAGCAAGTCCTTGGAAAGACCCAGAGGGCTGAGTGCTGGAGCTCCCCTGCACTGCAGCAGGTGCTGCCTGTCAGGCCTCTTGCCTGTGTCTTTATCTGCTGGATCTTGTCCGTTCTCCCTGGCCTGTGGTGTACAATTCCCCATCTGCTGGCTCGGTCTGGGCTCCAGGGTTAGTCTTTCCATGGCTGACAGAGAAGCACTCCTGGTGGGGAGCCTTCAAGGCTTCAACTCCATCCGCCGGTAGAGGAGGATGCAGGTGAAATCTAGGTGGATATATTTCTGGTTTGGCCCTAGAAATTATTTTTCCAGGCAAAGGATTTGTTCTGGGGGAAGGGGGTTTGGAAAAATGTGCCATGTCAAAGCTGCCCCCGGTGGAAGAGCTCTGAAGGGCTTGGTCAGGGTTTAAGGTGTCTTTCTGGCCTCTACCAAGCCATTAGTCCAAGCAGGAAGATTACGGTGGGACCCTGCATAGGGAAGCTCCGTGCATGATAATCGGCTCATGCCTGCCTCCCTGCCAGCAAGGGTGCTCTTCTCCGAGGGCATTGTGTGTCGAACATCTCTTGTGGACCTGCTCTGGCTTTGGGAGCTCTGGGTGCAGCACAGGGTTGTACTGGTGCCAGGCAGTTGGGAGGTGACATAAGGCCACAGGGATTTATTTGGATGTAAAGCTTTCTGGGTAGCTGCATTGGTCCCTGGGGGTCCCCTCTTACTGATAGCCATGGGGGAAGTCCGCTGGTGCTGCTGCTTCTGCCCTGGGTAGAAGCTGCTCTGGGGTGTGTTTTGTCTTTAGGCTTTTTGTTTTGCCCTGAACCCAGCCAGCTGAAATATTTTTGGCTTGCTGGGGTTTTTAAGTAACGGGTGTGTCAGCAAGTGCCTCTCTCATGATGAAAAAGCTTTCATGCAGCCGTCCTCAAAGATGGTCAGGGTCTGGCTTTGGAAAAATGCTCTGTAGTTGTATCTTCAGAGGCTGAGGAGGAGGGAATGGGCGCAAAGCAGTCACTGGAATCTTCACCCTTGCGGGATCCAGCGTGCTTAGCTGTGAGCTGTCACAAGCAGCTTGCTGGCTGGTGCGATCAGGCTGGGTAGCTGAGGCTCTCCTCTTCCCTCCCTGTCTTGCTTTGAAGATGGCCAGTGTCCCGAGCTGGCATCGGGAGGTGGTGAGGGGCTGCGCTGTGCCTGAAGCCCCTGTCCCTGAAATGCTGGCGTGTGAGACACCGTGGCAGGGATTTGGGGCAGATTCTCCACAGCTGGGAGGGCGTAATGCTGAGTGGCTGTTTGGGGTTTGTGCGTTAGCCAGCTGTAAGGGAACTGCTGCGCTCCAGCCCAGGATGGCGCTGGCGTGTGTCTGCGGGGAAAGCTGGGGACAGCGCTTGCTAACCTCTCTCGACCTGGCACTGCCACGCAGTAATTATGTCTTTAATCCCAAATAGATGAAGAGTAGATGGCTGGAACAAGAGCACAGGGAGGTGGTGCCTCCTGATGGCAGAGGCCCCGGGAGAAGAGATGGGAGAGAGCCCCTTCCTGCAGCAGGTACCCTGTTCTGCTGACACCCCTTGCCTGTGATGAAGCCGTTCAGGGCAGGAGTGACAGCCGTGTATGCAGGGCAGGCTCCCAATGCTCAGAGTTGCTACTCCACTGCTTAATATGGCCTGATCCTGTGGAGAGACCCTCGGGTGACCACTCTTGAGCATCAACCAGTCAGTGTCGATGGGTTTGCAGAGCCACGGTCTCCACCCAGCCTGGGACCATGACCCAAGCCTCTCCTCTGGCTGCCATGATGTGACAGGCTCCCTGAAAGCCCCTCAGCTGCTTCCCCTCCCTGAGGCTTTCTGCTCTGACCTGGTGGCCTAAAGTAAAATGGGGGCCCTGTGTATGTCCCCACACCTCCTCCTCCCTGGGCTCGAAGGGCATTTGTGAGTGCAAAGGGACAAAGAGAGCTTGGCAGGCGAGGAACCTGTCCTGGTTCTGTTCCCCTGCTGTTGTGTTTACTCCCTGTGGAAGGGACAGGAAGGAAACAGCCTCATGTCTGCTCTGGCCCCTTATCTGGGGTTTTTAACGGCCCTGCGAGTTTCATTGTTAGCTTCCATGTTCTCCAGGCCATGTTCCCAGGGGACATGCGGAGGTGGGGAGGCATTTCTGGCTGTGCCGGGCCTGCCTGGCAGCCATGCAAGGCTGGAGGAATCTGCTGGGGTTGCTGTCTCTCCTCTGCGTGCCAAGGAGGCAAACCATGCGGGTCTGTGCTCGCTGCTCTGTACTGAGGCTGCTCGCAACCAAGTGAGCTCGTTCACAAGAGCAGGGTCCCGGCTAAATCTCTCCTTCAAGCCAGTGTGCTGGATCCATCCTCATGCACCCCAAAAATCTGCCTCTTCTGCATAGAGATGGTTGAGGGCAAGCCAGGAAGCTGTTACATAGCAGCACGTCTACTTGGACAAGCTCATGTCATGGAGGATCCCTTCTCTGTAGGGGGGCGTTCTTCTCTTCTCATGGTCTTGGTGAAATACTGCTCTGGAAACGAATTGCAACCAGTGAATGGGGCTTCTGGCTGGGGATTTTGATGCTTCAGTTGTGTGGAGTGTCTGAGCGGTAGGACCATCCCCTGACCTGCTGGAGAGGTCTGGGATGTGGCAAGGAGGTGCTCCCCCTTTCTTGGAGGAGAGGGACCAGGTCGGTGGTCCAGGCTGCCTTTTCCCAGCAATTGGCTGGCTGCAGCATCCTCCCTTCAGTAGGACTCTGTGGAGCTGGGCTTTGCAGACCTGCTCTGTGTCTGTGTGCACTGACAGGGACCTTCAGGGAATCCCAGAAGGCGGACAATCTCTGTCCCTGCCTGAAGTGAGTGGGTGCCCACCAAAGATGGGGAGACTTGGTGAGAGTTGGGATCTGCCAGCACTGTTATGGGAGGCACCAAGCCGCTGCTTCAGAGCATCTCTGTCACAAATCCATGGGACAGGTGAGACCTTGGAGCTGCAGGGGTCAGAGCTGTCGCTGAGTTTCCATACAAGGTTTGGAGTCAATTGGTTTGGAGTCAATCTGTTGAAAAAAGCCGTAGGGCATACCTGTTGCAAGGTGGGAGGAGGGGTAGAGACCTGCGTGCATGAGCTGGGAGTCATGTTTGGGAGCCTCCAAAAGCCTGCTTGGGCTCCAGAGCCAAGAGTGGTGGGCTGTGTTCCTCCTGGGGTGCAGACTGGCCTGCAGCACCCCAGCCCACGTTGGGCTGGGACAGGGTGCAGGGGGATGAGGCGAGTGTGTGTGTGCCACGGCTTCGTCTCTTGCTGAGGCACCACATGGGCACAAGTAGAACAACTGGATTTTTTTAGTGATGAAGGCAGATTACAGGGTAGTGGTGACCAGATGTTCAAAGGCACTGCAGGCAGCTTCCAAAAGCACTTGGAAAAAAAAAAATCCACCCTGCTTTGCTGGGCTCAGTCATGGTGGTGCCATGGTGTCTGATAAGCACCAGGGCTGCTTGCGTCCGAGGGAAACTTTGGGAGGGCAGAGACACAGGGAGGAGTGGGTTTGTTGGGAGTGGTGGAGGCATTTCAGGAAGGGTTTGATCTGGATACACTTGAGATGGTGTGGGAAACTAATAAAAAACCCAGAAGCCTTGCTCTGAGCTCTTCTGAACCAGCATCTGCTGCAGGCTGAGACTGGAGGAGCAGGGCTGCCAGGGAGGCAGATGGGACAGGGCTCTGTGCGGGGAGCGGGGTGATATTGCCTGTGTGCTTGGTCCCAGGTCGCCGTTACAGATACACCGGGGCGGTGGTACTGGGCGGGTGGGCAGAGCTGATGCTGGAGACCGTGGGAAAGCAGTTTCTGTGCCGGCTGCCTGGTTTGAACGAGTCCCCACATGCCTGCCATGACTGCTGGGGTTTGGGAAAACCTCTATCGGGCTTGCTGGAACTCGGCTGGGCTGTGCAGGGGGCAGAGGGCTGAGCCCTTGCCACTCCTCTCCGCCTGTGCTGTTCCTCCGTTGGTGGGGAACAGTCAGATGCTGGGGGGCTGCTGTGGGAACAGCGCTGCGTTTGCCACCCCACCAGCCCTCTCCAGACACTGCTCTGTCTCTCAGAGAAGAGGGGGAGAGAGAGAGGAGCCCGTTTCCCCAGTCTGTTGCCTGCCCTGCCTCCTGTTTTGAGTTCACTCGTGTGATTTTTTTTTTTTTTTTTACCCCCTCTCCTGCTGTCCCTGCAGCTTTCTTCCCTCCTGCTTCCTCACTGTGGTGGCTGGGCTATTTCTCCCATGACTCTCTTCGTCTAGACCTGGCTGTCCCGTGCCTTTGCCAATCAAACCTGAACTTCCTCCTCTAACAGGTCTGTATGGAAGAATATTGCCTATCTCTATCAAAATGTGTTGATTGTGGTGTGCTCGTTCACTGTTCTCCTTTGGAGGGGATGTTGGAGGGGTCCAAGCCAGTGCCTGTCCCTAGGTCTGTGGGCTGAGGACCTCCTGGGGTGGCTGCAGCTTTGAGAGCCCTGGTGAGAACCTGGAGGGCGGTGAGTTTTGGCAGCAAAGCGGCTCATGGGGTCTCCTTTATGGGGATCCCCTCCCACTTCCTTGCTACACAGGAAAGGGGATGAGTTGTAGAGCTGGGGCTGACTCCCCACCTCCTGTCACACTGGGGAGGAGGGAGCAGATCAAGTGACACAGCCCTCCCTCAGCCCTTCCCTGGAGGAAATAATGGGATGTGGGTCGCTTCTCATTCTGCTGGAGAGTGTCCCCTGTTCTGCCCAAGGGACATGCCCTCCCTTCCTGCCACTGACTGCAGGCAGCTTTTCCTTGTAGGGGAAGTTTTCCTGCAGCCTGAGGAGGGCCCTTGTGGGAAGAAGGAACCTCCTCAGCACACAGTAGTTCTTCCGAACCTGGCTCAATCCCAACTGCTTGGTGTGATGGGGGAGGACCTTCTGCCCCCAAAGTGCCACTTCTCCAAGCTTAAGTGCTGGGGCAAGGAGCATTTAGTCACACCTGGGGCTGTGCTGCTCTGAGACCCTCTTGCCAGCTCTCTGGTGGTGGGTGGGAATGGGTGTTAATGCCATAAGATAATTTTTTTTTTTTTTTTTCTTGTTCTGAGAATCTGTCTTAATGAAATCAGTCTCTTCTGACCGCTCTTCTCTCCTCCTTTCCTCTTCCAAATAATGTGCAGTGGAGAGAGGGGCTCCTGCCCTTCTGGGTCACTTTTCTTCCCCTCACCTTGACACCAAGCCGCCTTCGCTTGTGCCTCCCTGTGCCCTCCGCCCCTGCCCTGCCCGTCCTGGGCACCCATCACCCATGGACGACTCGGAAGTGGAGTCGACCGCCAGCATCCTTGCCTCTGTCAAGGAGCAGGAGGCACAGTTCGAGAAGCTGACCCGGGCGCTCGAGGAGGAACGGCGCCATGTATCAGCCCAACTGGAACGAGTCCGGGTCTCCCCACAGGACGCCGGCCCGGGCTTGGCCAACGGCACGCTCACCCGGCGGCACCAGGTAAAAAACCCCCTCGGCAGAGGTGGGTGTGGAGGCTCCCAGAGCCCCCGTCCGTGTCAGTCCTGCCTCGGTGGGGGCAGCCCTGGGCCAGCCTTCCTTCCTTCGGCCCTCCTCGGACGTGTGAGGTGGAGGAGGGCTAAGCCGGTCTCATAACACTGATGGTACTGAAGGTGATGTGGGGATGTGCAAACCTACCCTGGCAGCCAGAGTGTTCCAGGGAGAAGAAGCCAGTCTGGATGGTCTTGCTGCCAGGTCACCTCTAGTTTGGTTTTGTGAAGGTTGGAGGCTTCTGTATTCAGTCCTGGGCATCGTTGCTCCCCATCCCACTCAGCTTCTTGGAAGGCGGCTGAAATGCAGGAGTTGGTGTATAGCTGTGGGGAAGTGTGTGTGTGTGTGTGTGTCTCCCTCTCGTGTGACAATGGGCAAGTCCCTGGAGTCTTGGTCTATCCCCCAAACAGCCAAACCAGGACTGGGAGAGATCTCTTTTCCCTACAGGGCTGGAAATTCAGTTTCATCTGCCTTGGCTTGAGGTCTCTCTCCTATTCTCACTTTCCCAGGCTCTGTTTTGGAGAGGGGTGCTCGGAGGGCTGGTGTGTGGTGTTGTGCAGGAGGCAGGTGCCTTTCCAGGTGTGGAAGGTGGTGGTGCTGGGAGAGATGCCTGGGTCAGGAGGAAAGAAGGGGTGGGCAGAGAGGGAGCGCGAGAGTCAAACAGTAGCACTTTACCATCAGCCGCCGAGCATCCACCCTGTTCCCTCGCAATCCTGGGGACCTCTGGGATGTCGCTTGCAGCTCCTGCATCAGAAGATGCGGAAGGTTCCAGGGCTGTGCTGGGGGAGCAGGGAAGGGGCTTGGCCATTCCATCAGGAGCGTGTGGGCACCGTGGGAGAGCTGGGATGTCTGGAGAGGAGCTGAGTGGCGTGTCCTCTTCCGCAGGCTGGAACGGGGGGTGGTTTGCTGCACTTTGCACAGGCCCCCGGGGAGCGTGGTCCTCCCCTGGGAGTGACGTGTGGGGTGCGCGCTGGGTGTCTGTCAGATGCAGGAGATGGCCTGCTCAGGGCCTGGCAGGGAAGTGTGTGTGGGGGGGTGGGTGTGTGGGATCCCAGCAGTGGGAGATCACTCTCGTAACAGGCCTGCTGTGGTGCTGTGTGTTTCAGAACGGCCGTTTCCTGGGCGATGCTGACCTGGAAAGGCAGAAATATCAAGATTTAAAGCTCAACGGGCCGCAGGTAAGGGAAACTGAGCTCGCTGGCTGTGGGCAGCCTGCTTGCTGGGAGGGGGGTGCAGGGGCAGGGCTGCACTGTCCCCACCCTAGCTGGCAGGTGTTTCTAATGTGTCATCTATCCTGGTTTGAAGGGGCTTTGGCTGTGAGGTTGTTGGTACCCCTTCCCATGCAAGACGATATTAGGGCTCCCTGAGAGGTGAGATCTCTTGACTGGCTGACTCCAGGGCGGTGGAGGGCTGACTGTCTGACCCTTGCTCCCCTCAGGACCACAGCCACCTCTTGTACAGCACAATCCCCAGGATGCAGGACCCGGGCCAGATTGTGGAGGAGACGTACACTATGGAGGAGGACCCAGAAGGGGCCATGTCAGTTGTGTCTGTGGAAACATCAGACGATGGGACAACCCGGCGTACAGAGACCACGGTACAGGCCTGGGGAGAGCACGGAGGGACAGGGCTCTTGCAGGGACCCTGATGGCTGGGGTGCTACAGCCATGATGTCTGCCAGCTTGCCGTGCTGTGAGCTGAAGCGGAATGTGAAATCTGCCTGGAACAAGGTGCTGGGCTGGAAGGGGAGTCTGGGGACCACGGGGGTGTGGTAGATTTTCCTGATGGGAGCGTGTCCTGCATCTATCCCTCTAGGTGAAGAAAGTGGTGAAGACTGTGACCACCCGGACGGTGCAGCAGATGCCGGTGGGGCCTGATGGGTTACCTTTGGAAGCCTCTCCTGTGACCAGCAACTATGTCCAGACCATGGACAGGAACTTCCGCAAGAATGGCAATGGGGGCCCCGGGGGCTACCTGAGCCAGCCGGGCACGGCCACCCTCCCTCGTAACTACCACTACCCCGAAGGCTACGGCCGCCCCTACGAGGACGGGTACCCGGGCAGCGATCACAGCTACGGCAGCCTGTCCCGTGTCACCCGCATTGACGAGCGCTATCGCCCCTCCATGGACACCTACCGGGCCCCCAGCCGCCAGGACATCTACGGCCCCCAGCCCCAGGTGCGTGTCGGGGGCAGCAACATGGACCTCAACCACTTCCACCCTGAGCCCTACGGCCTGGAGGATGACCAGCGCAGCGTGGGCTTTGAAGATGTGGACTACGGGCTTATGTCTGACTATGGCACGGCCAGGCGGGCAGGGACCCCATCTGATCCTCGACGGCGGCTCAGGTATGCGGCAGGAGGCGCTGGGGCGGGGGACTATGGGGTACTTTAATTTCACCCTCTTCAGAGGAAGGACGATCGCAGAGACAATAAATACCGTGAGCTGAGTCACATGCGGCTCATGCAGGGAGAAAGCTTGCATCCGCTTCTAATTGTCTGCTTAATTGGTGGTTAAAACTCAGTGCTAATTGAGCCGGTCATCCTGCAGCAAGGAGTTCCACTGGGAGGTTGGATGTAGCTCCAGGCCCTTCCCTCTCTGTGCTGCCTGTTCTGCTGGTGGGATGGCGGGCTCATCTGCGCCCCGGCCTGGCTTAACCAGCTGGGAACCGTCCCCGGTGCGGGGTGTGCGGCACAGCCCTGTGTCAGAGGTAGCAGCAGCCTTGTGATCCTGCTGTCACAGCTCCGGGGAGCGGTGCTGAGCCCAGGGCTGGGGTGAGTGAGGCTCAGCCCCACAGTGCCCCCGGGGAGCGTTCCTCCAGCACAGGGCAGGGCTGGAGAAGCTGCTCAACCTGTCTGGCAGTAGCAGCTTCTCCCTCTCGTTTGTCCGGGGTTGTTCGGGTGGCTCCTCCAGCCTGAGTGCTGAGCAGTTGCCCTTGGGCAGCCAGAGCAGGGTCTTGGTGGTCCTTTATCCCCCCTGTCTGGCATGTGGTGGGGTGTCCTGGGATGTTACGTGTCTGAGGCAATGACTCCTCTAGACTTGTGTCTTGTGCCAGCATTGTCTCTTGCACAAACACTGCTGCTGCCTGATTAAGCCTCTCTGCCTGCTCCACTTGCTGCCTGGGCTGTCAAGCAGGCTTTGGGGAGGTGCTGGAGGACTGCTCAGAGGGTGAGGTGGGAATGGAGCGAGGGCCTGAGCCCTGAGTCCCAGAGACAGGGAGCAAGCTGTGTCAGCAGGCTGCGATGGATGTAGCTCTCCCGAGTGCCCTGGGCCAGGGGGAAACGGGTAAGGCTGAGCACAGGCTGCTTAGGCTCCTAAGACATAAAACAGAGGCGGGAAGGGAGGCTCTTGCCAGCCCCTGCCGGGGATCTGCCCATCTCAAGGCATGTACTGTAAATCCATGGTAGCTCCTGAAGGGACTAGAGGAGGAGCTTTGTCTGTCCTTTCGGCTTGTGCCAGCACAAGTGTTTCTGTTGCTGTGCCGAACCAGTCCGGGCGGTTGTTCACCCAGATTGATTTCCCCAGCTCGCCTCATCTTGTGAAGCTTGTACTGGCTAGAGGAGGGCAGGCAGGGCTGCTGCCCCCGCTGCCTGCACTGACTCGAGCAGCCTGCAGGAAGCCAGCATTAACAGTTTTGAGCACGTGGCTGTCATGGCTAGCCGCTCAGTGAGCAGCTTGGGCAGAAGGGGTTAAGCAGGCATGTCTGACCTGTGGCTGCTTTGCTCCAGCTTTCGAACATTCCCCTGGGTTCTTGTCTGGCCCAGAACGCAAGGGCAGGAGCCCTCCTTGCATGGCCTGATCTGAACCGCTTGGCCTTTGAGACCACGAGTCCTCTCTGCTGGGCTGGAGGGTGTCTGGGCTCCTTCTGCCTGTCCAGATCCTGGAAGACAGGAGTTGCAGGAGCTGCAGCTGGGTGGGAGACTGAGAGACTTGGTCACAACAGAGGGAGAAGGTCCCACTTCCTAGCATGGCCAAGGAGCAGCCTTGATGGAGATGTCACCTTGTCCTGAAGCGATGGTGCAGGGTATGGAAGATGGGTTGGTGTGGCCCGTGAGTGGGCTCTCCCATCCCAGGCAGACCAATAAAGATCGCAGCAATCTGTGGAATCCAGGCGCTGTTGAGCTTGGCTTGTCCCCTGCCTTCTCGGTTACCATCTGCGCCCAGCTGCCTGGCCTGCAGGAATGGGAACTGGCGAGATCAGTATCCCCCCCCTGCCTCAGATGTTTGTCTTGAGCAGGGGCCTGGCTGTTAATGACTTCCTTCAGGGAGGCAGCTTGCCAGGCACGCGGGAGACACAGTGCATGCTGGCTGCCATCGGCCGCAAAATGTGCATGTCCCCTCTCCTGTGGCTCTTGTTGGAACTCCCTCTCTGAAGGGGAAGAGGGAAGGGGGGTTTGGTGGCAGCACAGGGTGTGCTTCCCCCTTCGGGGCCAGCCCCATCTCACCTGGGGGTGCAGGGTGGGATCCATTGCTGAAGGACACTCGTGGCTGGGCAGGAGCTCCCTCTCAGAGCTCGTGAGTCTTGGTGTGAGAGTGAGGTCAGCCGCCGGCTGTGTTGACAAGCATCAGGTGGCTTGTTTGCAGTGCTGGCCCTCAGCTGTGTTTTGCTCCTGCCTTGTCCTTCTGCAGGGATGGTGGTGGTCGACGTGGTGCACTGAGCACTGTGCCCCGCAGCAGCAGGGAACCACTCCCGGAGCGGTTGGACTCCGGTATCTCTTAGTAGCCAGGCCATGTGGCAAGCAGCACATTTCCCCATTGGGACATGCTGAAAGCCAACCTTGCAGCCCACTGCCGCCGTCTGCAGTGGAGCTGTGCAGCAGCGCCTGGAGGGGATGTGGCTGTGGGAGCTGGTGGAGGCTGTAGGTGTAGCGGTGGTGCGGGGAACAGACCTGCTACCATCCTTCATTGCAGCTTTCCCTGCCTGCTCAGGGGCAGGGGGGCTACCTGCACCTGATTTGGGAGCTCAGAAGGTGACTGAGCAGTCCCCGGGGCAGATGCGAGCCAGAGGATGCTACCTCATCTTGGACCTTGATTGTGTGTCCCCAGTGCCCTGGCACAGAAGGTCAGGCCCCTTTGTTTAAGTGCCAAGTCCCCTCCCTCCCTTTCTGTTGGAAACTGCTGGATTCCTCTGCTGGGGTGGGGGAAGGATTATGTTGCTAATGACTACAAAAATAGGGCGAAAATCCAGGATTTTTTCGTCTATGTTCTGAGGGTGTTAATGTCACCTTGGTGTGTGGGGGACTAGTTGCACTTTCTTTCAGCTTCCATGTACTTTTTGGGGCTCATTCCCAGTGCTGCTAGGTCTGTGGGTGAACCAAGGCAGGTGGTGTTGGGACCGCAGCTCTTCCCTGTGCCTGAGCTGGGAGCAGTGAAGTTGATCCCTGGAGCCCGGCTGTCTTTTGACACCCAACTAAGCCCTGGGCAGCAGTGTAACTTGTGTATATTGCTGCGCATCTGCAGGCAAAAGAGTTTGAGTCCCATCCTGGTTAAAAAATCTTTGCTCTAGCCACGACGTTCTGAAATAGTGGCAGTGGCTTGGTCTTGCGCCGGCTGCGGGGCAGCTGAGGTGACAGGGTGCAGTGTTGGATACAGCTGGACGGTGCAGCCGAGAACTGGACGGCCCAAAACTGGACCCTGGGTGCTTGCTGTGGCCAGGAAGAGCTGGTGTAACCCCTGGGTGACGTGCTCTCCCAGCAGTCTGCTGCGGTGTGAACTTGCCCTCTAGCGGCTGCAGGCCCAAGTGGGCTTCTGTGCGTCGGGCTGGCTCCTGCCCCGGGGAGGTTAGGCAGAAACCAGTATCCAGCCTCTGGCCCAAAGCTAAACGTGGTGGGTGGGAAAGGACCGGCATAGCTGTTGAGGCTGCCTTCTCCTGGGGAACAACGGCCTGCTTCCTGAGCAGGTCTGGGGAGACGTGGGGGGGGGTGCCCTCCTGCGGCTACGGGCTCCAGCTGGACCCTGTGTGGGGAGCAGGAAGGTGCCCTGACGCTGCTCTGCCCCTGGGCTCCCCAGCCCTTGATGGGAGTTTGCCCGGTGCACTCCAGCAGGGTAGTGGTGACTAGACACGGCGTGCATTTCAGCACGTCTTCTGGTGGGCTGGAGCGGGCACAGTATCCTCCCCCCACCCCCCCCCCAAGTCTAGGGCTTGTGCTGACACCTCCTGCCTTCTCTCCTAGGAGTTACGAAGACATGCTGGTCGATGAGGTGGCCCCTGACCGGTACTACTGGGCCCCTCTGGCTCAGCACGAGAGGGGTAGCTTGGCGAGTCTGGACAGCCTGCGGAAGGGAGGTCCGGCCCCGGGCAACTGGCGTCAGCCGGAGCTGCCAGAGGTAATAGCCATGCTGAGCTTCCGTCTGGACGCCGTCAAGTCCAACGCGGCCGCCTACCTGCAGCACCTCTGCTACCGTAACGACAAGGTGAAGACGGAGGTGCGCAAGCTGAAGGGCATTCCTGTGCTGGTGGGATTGCTAGACCACCCCAAGAAAGAGGTGCACTATGGTGCCTGTGGAGCCCTCAAGAACATCTCCTTTGGCAAGGACCAAGACAATAAGATTGCCATCAAGAACTGCGATGGGGTACCTGCTCTGGTGCGCCTGTTGCGGAAGGCCCACGACATGGACCTCACGGAGGTCATCACAGGTAATGGCTCCGGAGAGGAGAGGAGGGGCTAACCCGTTGGGGGTGAGGGGTGCGCAGTGCGGGGTTTTTAAACCCACGTGGTCTGATCACCTCCTGGTTGTGGCATTGCAGGAACACTGTGGAATCTGTCCTCGCATGACTCCATCAAGATGGCCATTGTGGATCACGCACTACATGCTCTGACCGATGAGGTTGTCATTCCCCGCTCAGGCTGGGAGCGGGAACCCAATGAGGACTCGAAACCCCGCCATATCGAGTGGGAGTCAGTGCTCACCAACACCGCTGGCTGCCTTAGGTACGGGAGTGGGGCTATCAACTGCTGGCAGAGAGCTGCTGTGGGTTGGGGCTGCTGTAACTCTTCTTTCTGGCTCTTCCTGGACTGCCAAAAGAGGCCTGCAGAGGAGCTGCTCTCCTAGAACAGCTACCGGTGATGCAGTCCTTGATTTTGGAGGAGTTTCTCTCAGCGGAGAGGAGTCACCGGAGCTTTTCTCCGATTTGAACTCTGCTGGATGTGGGCTGCTTCTCACCTGCCTCCCATGACAGTTCTCTCCTGCCTTCCAGGAATGTGAGCTCAGAGCGGAGCGAGGCCCGTCGGAAGCTGCGGGAATGTGATGGGCTGGTGGATGCCCTGATCTACATTGTCCAGTCTGAGATTGGCCAGAAGGACTCAGACAGCAAGGTACCACAGTGGGGGTGTTGTCGGGGCACGTGCAGAGCTCTGTCCTCGTCAACCAGCTCTAGCAGTACTCTGCTGTTCATGGTGGCTGAAGCTGGGTTCATCCCAGAATGGATGAAGAATGGACGGAGGGAATCTTTACCAGGAAGGGATTTGGTCCGACAGGAATCCGGTCCTGGCTCACACCTTTCCATGATCTCTGCTTGGGAAGAGAGAGGCTGTATGGGGTATGACCTGGGTGCTGTTTGACTAGGATGTGTCTAGCACTCAGCCTGCAGTTCGCAGTAGGAATGTTGCCCCTCCCATAGTGGTCTAGTGGTGGCACTTGTCCCCATCCTGATATCCCCTGGTTCAGGGCTTCCTCATCTCCCTTGATAAGGTGTTAACTTGAATTTTCCTTGAGCCTTTCCTCAGACCTTTTGTGCTTATGGCAGAGAAATTTTTTGGCCCAGCAGAGTATGAACTCATGCCCACAGAACTGGCCATGCCTGCTTTGGGATGGGGATATGCTTCAGATCTATCTGAGATGGACCTGCATATCCCCTGGTTCCAGTTCAGGCCCCCGTGGCCTGGCTCTGGGTTGCAAGCTGTGATGGGGCCCTCAGAGACATGGGACAGGCACGTGCTGATCCAAGTCAAACCATCTGGCTTTCTCTGTAGCTGGTGGAGAACTGTGTGTGCCTGCTGAGAAACTTGTCCTACCAAGTCCACCGTGAGATCCCCCATGCTGAGCGCTACCAGGAGACGCCTCTGGTCCCTGCCAACAATGCTGGACCCCATGCTGCAAGCTGCTTTGGTGCCAAGAAGGGCAAAGGTTTGTTGAGAGGCAGCAGCATGGAGGGAGGTGGGATGCAGTTCTACTACAGTGGAGCTTGAGGGTGGTCTGGGGTCTCTGTGCTCTTACTCTGGCATCTCTTGTGTGAAGACTAAACTGCAGCTTCCTCTGGAGATGCAGTGGTCCATGCCTCCCCTGGCTTTGGGAGCTACTGCTTGGCTTACCCAAAACATTTGACACAAGCTAATGGTGGGTTTCTGTGGTGGTGGGATGGTGATGGATAGACATTCACTAACTCCACACCTTCCCTTTTCTTCTGTGTTGCCCCTTCCCCTTCCCTTTGCTTTCTTGCCAAATGATCTGCCCCATGATGCTGTTGGCACTTATCTTCTCCTGCCTCCCCTCTCTCCTGTCCTTCTCTCCGCTTCGCCAATAGACGAATGGTTCTCCAGAGGTGAGTCTGCTCTTGGTTTTAATTTTTCCATGGTTTGATTGGGTGCTGTCTCTAGCTCTCTTTGTTCCCACCCTGAGCTGGGCATGTACTGCCTGCACTGTGGCTAATGCCCTTGATGTCCCCTCCTGGGACATGCTGGTAGCTTTGCTTCAGCTCGCCCCTGGGCTTGTTCTTGTAGCAAGTGTCAAAGAGCTGTCGGGTGGGGAGAGGAGGTGTCTTATGCCTCTCTGCTTGCCCTTTGAAGGTAAAAAGCTCCCAGAAGACCCTGCTGCCGATACAGTGGATTTTCCCAAAAGAACAACTCCAGCCAAAGGTATGTTCCTCGGTGTCTCTGTGCAGGACTTGGGTGTGCAGGGCTGCTTTTCCACAAGTAGCCCAGGAGAGGAGTGAGTAGAGTTGATTTCCCATTGAAGTGAGCCTCTCAGAGGGGCAGAGGTTTGGTTCGGAGGAGGTATGTTTCTGGTTGCCCAAGTACCTGTGAAAACAGTAGCTTTGCCACAGGCAGTTGTGAGGGTGCTTGCTGTGCTTGGAGGAGATCAGTGCTGCCTCAAGGCAGGCTTCCTGGGGCTGCAGAGGGAAGTATTGCCCTAGGGACTGAGGGACAGCATGGTGACACAGCCCTAGGAAGGGTAGCCCTCTGTGGTGGTCTCAGACTTCTCATCAGAATTGCCCTCTTGCCTGCTCTTCTCTCCTGGGCATAAAGAACATGCGGGATTTAAAGCCCAAAACCCCTGCCTTAGTGTTTTCCAGCACAAGCATGAGGAAGGGTCATTCCAAAAAGCCCTTGAGGACAAGTGTATCACTGCCTAGAGGGCTGTGAATTACAGCCTCTCTCTGGCTGGCCAAGCAGAGGGCGTTAGCCCAGGGCTTGAGTTCAACTCCTTCTGCCCTAGAACACTCTCTGGTTCCTGGGAGGGTCCTGGTCTTCCTGGGGGTATGAAGGGTTAAGCTAGAAGAATCACAAGGAAACTTAGGACAGACCTGACCTTGTGAACACCTCAGATATGTGGTGGTGGCTCCTCAGGCTGACCTGGGCTGTGCAAAGAGTCAGCACCTGTCTCTGGTGGAAGCCTGAGAAGCCATCTACTCTGTCTTTGGGGGCTGGGGACATTCCTCACCACAGCTGAGGACAGAGAACAAGATGGAAAGCCCAGCCTTGCAACTGTAAACTGCAATCTCACTGCTGCTTTAGAAGTCAATTCTGAGCGTATGCTTCCACAGAAAAGAGTTAATACTTGAAGACCTGGTCCCTGCCTGCTTGCTAGGGCAGTGGAGAGCTGGAGACCTGGTGCCTTCAGTCTCTGAGGATGAGCTTTTTCAACGTGGTGTTGGTGGCTGCTTGCTTGGGGTGTTTCCCCTTCCTCCTGCTGAGAGCATGGGTTGAGCCTTTTGCTACCATAGTACATTGCTGCCGAGTTTGCTGCCCGACCATGTGCCCTTGCCTGGGGTGGGTACTTCTCAGCCAGGTGTTGGGCTGAAACTGAGGTCTCCTTGCTGATGACAGCGGTGCTGTGGCTCAGCCCAGACCTCTCCTGAGCTGCAGCAGCGGTGTGTTGGGGACTGTGGGCAGCAGCCATTGCATCCCTGATCAGAGCTGCTGATGGGGGTTTGGGTTTCTGGTATTGTGGGGCAGCCCTGGCCCCCTCTCTACCAAGCATCCAGCCTCTGGGAAGCAGTGAGCCTGGGTAAAAGCTTCCAGTCTCATCTGCTCAGCCGTGCTCCTTTGAATTAGTCAAATGCCAGCAGAGCCCTTGAGTAAGTCGAGTAAGTCCTTTTTACCCATGTTCTTCTGGCAGGCTATGAGCTCCTCTTCCAACCAGAAGTGGTCCGGATATACATCTCCCTTCTAAAGGAAAGCAAGACTCCAGCCATCCTAGAGGCTTCGGCAGGAGCCATACAGAACCTGTGTGCTGGCAGTTGGACGGTGAGTCCCTCATGGAGCTGGCCATGTCCACATTCATCTGTATTGCAGAGAAGGAAGGGGGGCCTTGGGGCACAGGGAGCATCGCCCTTGGGGAGCCAGCAGAGCTGTAGATGGCCAGGGCTCTGCTGTTTCAGGCAGTTCACCTGGTGCATGGCTTGCTGCCCAAGGAGATAGTGTTCAGCAGCACAGTTTAGGTGTGGACCAGGGCTCTCCTGTGCTATTAAGGGCTCTGTGCTCCCTGCCAGCTGTGCCTTCCCAAGGGCTGCCTCTCTGTGTCCCTGCCTGCAGCCAGCTCCCTGCCATTCCTTCCCTTCTGTAGCCTGGGGGGCAGATGATGACTGCTCTACAGTCCCTTGGCCTGCATTCTTTGGGTGTGTATGGAAAGGCCATCTGGGAAATCTTGCTTGCCTGGCCTGTAGAGGGGCTTTGGGACAGGAATGGGACCTCTGCAGTCTGTCTGACCGTGGGCAAAACCAAGACCCTCCTTTCCCAAGATGAGGGTGGGTGGCAAGGCATCCAGTGGTGTCCTCGGCCTCAGGAGTGGGGAGGGGACTGTGCCTGCCCAGGTTACACTGTGGTGCTCTGCCTCTCCCCTGCAGTATGGCCGGTACATCCGCTCAGCTCTGCGTCAGGAGAAGGGACTCTCTGCCATTGCTGACCTCCTGACCCACGACAGTGAGCGGGTGGTGAAAGCAGCGTCCGGAGCCCTGCGCAACCTGGCTGTCGACTTGCGTAACAAAGAGCTGATAGGTGAGCGCTGCGGAGGAGAGGACACCGGTGCTCTCTGTATCCATCTGTGTCAGGCAGGAACTTCTTCCTAACCTTGGCAGCTGAAGAAGTGTGTGGGCATGGCATCAGCCCCGTGTCTGTTTACTGCTCCTCTCCCGGAGTAGCATGTGCTGAGCTCCACCGAGAGGGACATCCAAAACTGGTCACCTGTCCCTGATTCTTCTGCAGTGATCTTTCCTTTGCAGTCCTCTTCCTTGCTTGCTTGCTCATGCCCAGCTCTTTCCTCATCCCAGGTAAACACGCCATCCCCAACCTAGTGAAGAACCTGCCCGGAGGCCAGCAGACCCCAGCCAAAAACCTCTCTGAGGACACAGTGGTGTCAATCCTCAACACCATCAATGAAGTAATTGTAGACAACCTTGAGGCTGCCAAGAAGCTGCGGGAAACTCAGGGAATTGAGAAGTTGGTGCTGATCAACAAATCCGGGTAGGCTCTGCTCAAAGGATAATGAGGGGCTTCTTCAGGAGCTTGCTTGAGGGTATGGGTATTTCCAAACATCTCTTCCTTCACCTCTTTGTAGGAACCGCTCAGAGAGAGAAGTCCGAGCAGCTGCCCTCGTCTTGCAGACAGTCTGGGGATATAAAGAGCTGCGAAAGCCTCTTGAGAAGGAAGGCTGGAAGAAGTCAGATTTCCAGGTATGGGGATGCCCTGTTGTCACTGGGGTAGTAGGTTGGGTCCTGCAGCAGAGAGAAGGGTGTTGCGGAGCTCAGCAGTGCTGGATTTCAGCTCTTACCTTGCTGGTGAGATTGGAGACCCTTGAAGGTGTCCCCTCCACCATTTCTCAGTTGGATGACCAGCAGGAAGTCTCTAATAAGGAAGAAATGCTCTGAAAACTTTAAGCCCTGTGTCCCACACATAAGCATGCAGATCTGCAGGAAAGTTTGCAGCACTAAAAGCCACTGTGGCAGTGCTGAAGAAGAAGGTTCTCCAGGGCTCAGTTTTTCCCAAAAGCTGAGACTGTCCTTGGGTGCTGCCCTGACCCAGTCCACTCTAATGTGGGTACAGCCAGGGTGCTGGAGCACCCTCTGGTTGCTACAGGCCCGTGGCTCAAGGACTGTGGGAGGGTTCCTGGGTCTGTCCTGGTGTTGGGGGCTGGAGGGGTGAAATGTGCTGATGGGGAAGGAGTGTGTGGGCCAGGGTGTAAGTGGTCATTGTCTGATGTTCCAGGTGAACCTGAGCAATGCCTCTCGGACCCAGGGAGGCAACTCATTTGACGACAGCACCTTGCCTCTCATCGACAGGAACCAAAAAACAGGTGTGCTCCTTTCTTTCAGCACCTGTCCCCACTGTCACCCTTCCTCGTGGGTACCCAGAACAGCTGCCCTTTGTCCCCTCCCTGTTCTTCAGCCCTGGCTTTCTTGGCAGCCACAGCTGCTCACACAAGGCCATCAGTTTGGGTTTTAGATGGCTTCTCAGGGCTGGAAATTCTGCACACAGTTAATGTAGGTCCTGTAGCATCCTTGGGTCAACAGTGCTGCAGCTGGGTCTGGGCTCCCGTAGCTGGGGTAGGCAGTGGTTCCTCTGCTGCTAGTGGCTGCAGGGGCTGTGTCTGATCTGCTCCTCTCCCGTGCTTATAGACAAGAAATCCTCCCGGGAAGAGATCCAGATGAGCACCATGGGACCAGGTAGGAGAGGGACTGGAGTGGTGGACATCTTGCCTCCTTGGTACGCTGGGAAGGGGGCAGAACTCACATCTGTGGGGACGATGCTGCCTCCCCATGGAGGTGACAAAACTGACTGTACGCTCTTCTGCTCCAGACAACTATTCCACACTCAATGAGAGGGACCACAGCAGGACGCTGGACCGATCCGGTGACCTTGGAGATATGGAGCCGGTGAAGGCAGCACCACTGATGGTGAGCGGCTCTTCCTAACAAGGGAAGAGGGAGTGAGACTGGGGTGCAAGAGATGACACATCACTGTCCTGGCTGGCAGGAGGACGGGAGAATAGTGCTCCCACAACTAACCACCCCCTCACTCCGCCCCATCACCCCTACTAACCCCTATGTGTCTGCAGCAGGAGGAGGGGCAGGAATCGCAGCCTGAGGTAGAGGAGGTGGAGGAGGATGCTGCCGTGTTTTCCTCCATGTCGGTATGTCCCGCAGTGTCCTGCTCAGTCTGAACAGTGGTGACAGATCCTGCTGCGCTGTTAAGGGGTGCTTTGGCCAGCCAGATTCTGCTCTGATCGCTGCTGCCTGCAATCACTGCCTGATCTGTCGGGGCCGTGATCACGCCTCCACTGCCCACTCACTCCCTGGGTGTGCTAACATCTCTCCCTCTCTCTCCACAGCAGAAGATCTAGCTGACATCCCTGCCTCCACTCAGTTTGGGTTGATAATATATTATATATATAAATATATATATATAACTCTTCATGGTGGAATGGACCGACTTTTACCTTGTCTTATTTTTGGATTTTTTGCTGGACTGTTTGTGCCAACTAGCCAGCCAAATGACTAGGCCTGGTCCCGCAGGGACAGCCTGGGCCACTCTGCCTCCTCTAGACCGCTGCACCTCCCCATTCTGGGGCACCTCGACTGATAACTCTTCCTCCCTGTCCTCCACCACCTCCTTCATCCAGAGAGTAAAACCCTCCTGCCTGACTCGGCCGCATTGACCGGCATGGATGCTGCAAAAGGACTCTGGATCTCTGCCTTGACCAGGAACTGCCTTCTCTCCTATGCCTTCCCTCTGCTTGGAGATGTCTGCAGGGACAGAGACTGGGACCTCACTCGCCGCCTTTTTGTTTTGGTTTGTTTTGGGGTTTTTTTTGTGGGTTGTTTTTTTTTTTTTTTTTTTTGCTATTGCCTATAGGATATATTTTTGTGTGGGATCACTCTTCAACCAGGGCCGTGGGGACAATGGGACCATTCCCTCCCTGGTGGCGGCGGGACCAGGGTATGCAGGGGTGAGGGGAAGGAAAAACAGCAATAACTTCTCTTGCTTTGCTCTAGCTGAGGCTCTGGGGGTGTGAGAAGGGGGATCTGGCTCTGGATCCTGCGAAGGGATCTGGATGGGGCTGCTGGCTCCCACCTGGTGACCGTGAGGAGGGATCCTTACGTGGGGAAGATGGTCAGTGGGGGGGGGGGGGCGCTTAGGATGGGCCTCCCTGCGCTGGAGGCAGTGGGTCCCCGTGGGAGGAGGAGATGCGGCAGGGCTTTTGGGGAGAGGCAGGTTTCTTGGGGCACACTGCGTGCTGGGTGTGAGGAGCAGGCGCTGGCAGGGCTACAAGCGGGTAGAGCCAGGATCCCCCTTCTCACCCCCACGCACTAGCTGCCTGCAGCGGTGCCCCTCTGACTTTCTCTTGACACGTGCCTTTCTTTTGCCACTGTGAAATAGCTCTTTGAATCGTACTGTCTGGCTACTTCGCTGGGGAAGGGGTGTTTCCTGGGCTTCTGGCAGGGCTGAGCTCTTCCCTTCCCCACTGGGAGCCTTAATTGTCTGCAGTGAGGTTGGAAGCCTGTTTTGGGGGGGCGGTGGGGGGATCCCAGCCCCCTTGCCCTCACTGATGGGGTGCAGAGCTCTCATCTGCATCCTGTCCTGGGGAGACTAGGCTGCCACAGGAGCTGGGGCATACACATCCTCGTCCTCCTCTCTGCTGTGGTGGAGGGGGGCACGTCTAAGTGCTGTGATCTTCTGGGGAGCCCTCGGGCACCCTGCGCAACTGGAAGCCTCTGTAGGAGGCTGCAAACTGGAGCAGGAGCCCTCCCCAGCCTGGGGCTCCCCCCAAACTGTGGACCCATGAGGGGACCAGGGAGGCTGCAGTAGGTGCCTTGCTCCTGCCTGCTCCTCTGCCCAAAAGCACCTCCCAGCTCTGGCTGAGCCCTCCCTGGCTCCAGCCCCACCTCAGCTTGGTTTGGTTTTGTTCTGGGGTCTAACTCTTCTCTTTTCCTTTAAATATGTAAAACACTAATTCCTTTTTTAATTTTTAATTCCAAATGAACCAAAAAAAAAAAAAAAAAAAAAGAGCCTTCCTCCTTCTCTCCTCCCCTGCCCTGGCTCTCCTGAGCCACCCCAGCGCTGGCAGGGCTAGGGAGGAGGGGAGTGGGGAGCAACAAGCTGTTCCTTGTCCGATTCCTGTGCACACTCTTGTAACGCTTTTAAAACAAAATGATTTTTTTATATAAATAAAGTTTTTAAAGTGTGTCTATGTGCCTTCTGCCTAAGGCTGATACTTTGGTGGTTTTAGCTGTGCAGTTGGGACCAAATGTCTTTTCCAGCGTCGGGGCTGTGCTCTTGAGCGTTGCTTGTTTATGCGTGGCTCTGCAAGATGCCACTTTGTGACAAAGCCTTTCTTGGGTTGGAGTGGTATTTCCCCCTCTTTCTAGAAAAAGATTGGAGGGAAAAGTCACCAGAACTTTGCATTGTACTGAGCTTGCAACAGTGTTTGCAGGGTAGTTGAGAGCCCTCTGTCTCCTCAGAGCTTCCTCCTGGGAAGCCTTTCCCTGAATTTCCTCTCTCCTTGGGTGGTGGGTAGACTTTGCACGAGTGAAGAAATGCCACAATTTCTGTAGTGCTGAGTCCATCTCATTGAAAAAACCTGGGCGGGGGAGTCCTCTGGAGCAAGGGCTACCCCTGCAGAGCACGGCTAGGCTGCAACTGTGTTCATCCCTTCTAGAGGAATACCGAATCACCATGCTAACTCACTTTGCTTTCACCCATGTGTGCGTGAGAAAAGAAATACAAGTTTTGTAAATTTTTGGAAATACCTTTTTGGAAGCAGTTTTCTGGCTGCTTCTTAAAACCAGATTTTTACTGAAACTGCGTTGCTGTTAGGAAGATTTCACCAGGGCCCTGAGTGGCTCTTTTTGCCCTGGGGTAGCGGGATGAAGTCTATGGTGATGCTGGGCTGGGATGGTGCTGATTTCCTGTGTGATGCAGCACAGCTGGAGCTTGAACTACTCCCCCGGGGAGGCTGGGGCTGCTGTTCTCTGGGTTACTGGGGAAAGGCAGCTGGGGCAGAGTCAGCCCTGGCTTGTAGCACCCTGGGAGCTGGGGACCCAATGCACCCATGGGTGGTGGAGGGCATTGATGGATACACCTGGCTCTATGGGGGGGTCCCAGCCCTCCCACCTTGCCTTGCACCCTTGTCCCCAAAGCCACCAGCACATGGAACAAAGGTAGGGCCAGGATTTTTATTGCTTCAGGTTGAAGGGACAGTGCCCAGGACACGTGGCTTGGCAGGGACAATGCCAGGAATGTCTTAGGGGGAGGGGTACAAGGAATGATGCCAGGGATGTCTGGCTTGGCAGAGACAATGCTGGGGACGTTTGGCTCAGCAGGACCAATGCCAGGGACATTGATGGGTGGGATAATATGAAACCTGTTTGGCTTGGCAGGGACAATGCCAGGGATGCCTGGCCTGGCAGGGAAGATGCCAGGGACGTCGATGGTGGGGACAATACCAGGGACAGCCAGTGAGGCGGGAAGGGTGGCTGTGTGCTGGCGGGGCAGGGATCAGAGGAAGAGCTTGTTGTAGCAGGCCTGGCAGTACATTTTGTTGCCGTGCTCGTGGAAGGTGCCTTTCTGCAGCTGGCCCAGGCAGTAGACGCAGATGAAGTGCTCAGGGTGGTACTTGCGCCCGGCGGCTGTGACGCAGCGGCCAGTCACAGGGCGGCTGCAGCCGTGGCAGATGCTGCCCTGCCGCTGGTGGAAGTGCAGCTCGCAGTAGGGCCGACCCTCCAGCTCAAAGAAGGAGCCGCTGGCAAAGCCGCTCAGGCACTCCTGGAGGGAAGAAGACGGAGAAAGCCGTCACGGCTTTGGGGATACGCTCCTCACCCCTACGTCCCAGCCAGCCTGCTGCTCACTCACCGCGCACACGAAGCATTCGGGGTGCCAGACGCCCTGCAAGGCCGACAGGTAATTGTCCATCACAGGGCGCTCGCAGCCCTGGCATTTTGGGGCAAACATAGCCAGGAAGTCCTGGCGGCAGTATGGCTTCCCGTTCCGCTCGTGGAAACCTGTGGGAAGGGCATTGGGATGGGCACCCACCCGCGGGGAGGGTCGCAGCGCGGAATGGCCATGAGCATGCCTAGGGTAGGAGGCAAGGGAAAGACCATGGGGGGGGATGTCGGGTGGGACGACAGGTACGAGGGCTGGGGTATGGGGGGGGAATACGCAGGGTGGGGGCAGCAGATGCAAGGGCAGGGTTATGGCAGAGGATATCCAGAGTGGGGGAAGGACCCCCACACCTGTCCCCTAGGACATACCGTCGTCTCCGAACACTTTCCCGCAGTGGGCACAGAAGAAGTGCTCGGGGTGCCAGGTCTGGTCCAGAGCCGTGAGGACTTTCTGCAGGAAGAGGCAAGGTGAGGCTGCTGGTGGCGGCAGGGGTGGGGTGGGAAGCCGGGGGGGTGTGGGGGGGGCTTACCTCATGGATGGGGTTGGCACAGTAGGCGCAGCGAGGGGAGAAGGCTTGGTGGTAGTCCTCCTCACAGTACGCCTGCCCTCCCCGCTCAAAGAAGGGCTGGTTGCCCAGCTCCTGTCCGCAGCGGGTGCAGGTGAAGTGCTCGAGGTGCCAGGTTTTGCCCAGGGCTGTGAGCACCTGGGGGGAGGCCGGGGTGGGCAGTGAGAGCCTGCCAGGGGGTGCCACGAGCTGAGGGGAGAGGGGCACCCAGATGGAGGCATGGGGGGGGGGGCTCACCTTGCCAGCAATGGGCTTGCGGCAGGCGGAGCAAACGCCGGTGGGAGCAGCTGTGATGCCCAGCTCCTGTAGGTCCTGGGTGAGGCTGCCCAGCATGTTGTCTAGTGAGGGCGAGGGCTTTGCTGGCACCCCGGCTCCCTGTCCCGTAGCCGCGAGCTGCCAGGAAGGAGGATGGTGAGAGCCGGGCGAGGGGCAGGCCCCCATCCTCCTGTCCCCCAGAGCCAAGGCTCACCTTACTCTGCATGTGGCCCAGGTCGGCCAGGAGCTCATCCAGCTGCCGGGCAGCTGCTGTGGGTGGAGGCGAGGAGAGCAGCGGCTGCGGGACCGGTATGGGGCTGCTGGGCACAGCAGAGAGTGAGGGATGTTGTGGCTTCCAGCCTGAGGCCAGAGAGTGCCTGGGACTGAGAACCCTCCGCCCCTGTGAGGCACTACCTTTTCCCCCACGGGCCACAGCAGGGGACAGGGGGGCCCTCCCTGGGGACATGCTGGTGGGGAGTGGCCACGTGTTGCAGGGAGAGGGCTGCTGGAAGCCTAGTCCTCACCCCAGCAGGGATGCAGGGATGCAGGATACACCCCCTTGCCCCAGTTTGCAGAAGGACCTGCGTTTGGGAGGACGTGCAGGAGGCCAGGTGACCCCAGAGGACATGTCCAAGAAATGGAAAGGGAGACCCCAGATGACTTTGCCCATGGCCATGTTTTACCTGTACACTGTCTTCAAAGCCTCTTCTGGAGGCTGAGCCTGAGGCGGCGGCTGCACCTGGAAGGAAAAACCCTTGGCACCCTTCACTGCCTGCCTGGCACCACCACCCCTGTCACAAGCTGAGCAGGGTCTCAGCCGCCAGCCCCATCGTGTTGAGGTGTTACCTTCAGGGCCTTTGGGGCAAGTGGCTCACGGCCACAGGGCACTGGGGGCCCGGCTGTGGCCAGGTCCTGCTTGTAGGAGCTCGGCACCTGCGGCACGCAGTCCTTGGAGGCTGAGTGAGAGCTCTGCTCCAGTTCTGCCAGCAAAGCATCTGAAGGGAGAGACCTGGGTCAGGCAACCCCAGCCACTGGCTGACCTCCCTGCCTGTGCACCCTCCTAAGCAGTCTCGTGTCACTTCTGAAATCTCAGGAGCAAAAGCAGCATCACAGCAGCTTCTGATAGCTAGGTGCCAGGGCCCTGAGGGGCTGTGGTGACCCTCACCTGGATCCCCATCCCCAGCACAGGATGAGCCCACTCCACTGCACAGCCTTCCTGAAACATGGGGGACTGCTGACAACAGAGGTCCTGCTTCCCCTGCATGCCATCTCTAGCTTACAAAAAAACATCCACTAGCCCTTAAAGTCATCCCAGCAAAAGCCCTGGCATGGGGAGAGCTAGACCTCAGTGCTTTCTGTGCACCCAGCGTGGCGTTTCCCCCAGGGAGGACAAAGCGCTTTCTCTTTCCACTTTCACCTCGCCACCTTGGCTGTCCCTCGGCACCTCACTGCCCTCATGTCAGGAAACAGGGGGGACGCGCCCCACAGCACAGCTGCTTCCCTGACCCAGTGTCCCCCCCCCCACCCCGGGCCAGAGATGTCTCCCAGCTCCCTTGGAGGTCACGCCACACCCTGGTGCTGCTCGGCCCCGCCGCGCGCAGCTGGGATTGCATCGTTGCCGCAGCCTGTTTCCTGACTTCAAGCGCTCTCCATCTTTGGCCAAATGCTCACTTGGCTACCTGGGCCCTCTTCATCCCCTGAGATGGGGGGGGGGTAGGCGCAGAAGGGGGGTGCAGCTCCATTGCTGCCCCCTCTGCAGCATCCCCACCTGACCCTGAGGTAGAGGAAGGACAAGGCTCTCCCCAAGCCATCAAAGGCACAACCCCGCACCAAGCCTGGGCACAGGACTGGCTCCGGAAGGGCCCATCTTACCTAAATCCTCCATCCTCCCACAACATGGGGTCCCAGCAGCTGGGGGGCTGGGGCAGGACCTGCAGGGCGGCGAGCTGGCAGGCTGGGCTGTGCAGGCTTTCAGTTCCGCTCTCCAGCCTCGCCTCTGCCACCCCGCCCCCAGGGCTGGGGTTTGTCGCTGGGGGTTTTTCCTCTGTGGGTTGCGTGCTTTGCACCACGTGTGACAGGCAGCAGGCAGAAAGTGGTGGCAGAGTCTGGGGCAAGGGGAGCCGGGAGCAGACCCAGGTTGGGGCTGGAGAGGGAAGAAACTGGTCAGCAGGTTGTCCGGGGAGCTCCTGACTCGTAAAAATATCCGAGCTCCTTGGGCATCTCAGCTGGAATCCAGAGCGCTTGTGTCCTGCAGACCCACGCCCTTTCCAGAAGCTGCTGGCTGCATGAGATGAGGGATCCCTGCACCGAGTGGAAATGCATTTGTGACGGTGTGATGGAGGCAGGCACAGGACCCACAGTGCTGGCATGCTCCAACACAGCATTTCTTTCTGGAGGGATGCTTCTGGAGCTTCATCTTGGATTTCCAGGTAACGGCAAATCCCTTTGTGTCACTTAGAGCCAGCGTGAATGCAAGGACTTGGCTCACTGCAAGAGTATAGGCAGTGGTGGCACTGCCGAGGCTGGTGGTTGTGCTATGCTCTCCCTGCATTAATGCTTTGGGCCACTTAAAATGTTCCCAGAGGTGCTGGGTGTGTGCCTGCTGGGCACAGCTCATCGCTGACGCTACAGGCATGGGGATATAGCTTCTCAGCACGTCACCACCAGCCAGGCACAACACCCAGCAGCAGACGAGCACTGATCTGTGCTGGTAATTTGAGCAATTTACCCACCACTGGGATTTTATTGCTTCTCCCGAACCAGACCGCTTCAGTCTCTGGGTACCCCATATAGTCACTTCAGGTGATAATCCCATAAGCACCTGAATATGTCTTAAGGGAGGAGCAACACAGGTTTTTCTGTCAGAGGCACAGGTTGAGGTGGCAGTCTGCTTCCTCCCCAGATGCAGGCATGGGCCCCTCACTGTTTGGGACCATTTGGGAGGACAGACCCACAGGTACTGCTGTTATCCCTGGTGCCTCCACTGCTGCCCAACTCCCATCAGGCTGATCTAGTGATAGTTGCGTCTCGGCTTTCTGGGAGAGATATTTTTTGACACTGCTGAGAGCAGCCAGTAGATGTTGGAGCAGCTCCGGGGGACCAGGAGCAGGAGGATGAAGTGAAAGCTGCTGCAGCAGAGAGAGGTAAAGAACTAGCATATTCATTACATTAGTGGATGGGGAAATGTCAGGAGATGGCAGTGCAACGATACCCACAGTCAAAACATGCCCCAGACCTGAGATATAGATATTTGGGATGACACAGCAAGGGAGCATGGCACCAAGAGGCTCCTCCTGTCCCACCACAACCCTCTGGCTCCTTTTTCCCACAGAGCTGCTTTTCCAACCTGCTGCAAAGGGGTTTTCCCCAATGCTGTTGCTGCCGGTGCAATCCCCTCTTGCTGGTCTATCATCCCATCACAACACCCCTGCCCCACTCTCCTTAGAGCCCAGTGAGGTGGTTATTCCTAGACAGCATGCGTAGGGGAGGCTGCACGTGGCTTGACATGTCCTTTGTGCTCTTGCTTGGATTTTTGGAGGAGGCATCACCTTGTAGGTGCATGGATAACATCTCAGACACCTTGGCTACCAGCCCTAAGTAAGCCTCACTGCATCCTTGCTAGGCTCCATGTGAGTTTGAGCTACCTGAAGGTTTCAAGGATGCTATAAAAGCCTTGGGACCAAAAGTTATGAGCCACGCAGCCAGAGCTCATGGCTCCCTGCTGCTTCTCCTGGGGGTGTGAGTCACTTCTTGCAACGTCTCACCCCTTCCACACCTCCCATGCCATGGATATCTCTTTGATCTTGCTCCCATACTCTCCTGGCTTTGATTCTCTCCTGCCACCCCTCCATTTCATTCCCAGGGAAGAGGCTTGGTCAGAAAAAAAAAAAAAACAACAAAAAAAAACTAACAAAAAACATTCCAGATAAAGCCAAATAAGCCTCAGTTTTTTCCCAGAGTTGCCAGGTGAGAGAAGTGCAAGTTCCATGTACAGCTTCACTGTGGCAGTTTTATGCCTCATTGGGAGAGCTTTCAGGAGATTCTCAAAGAAAGGGTTGCAGCCAAGCACTGCACTGCCTCCAGATGTGTGATTTGCCACAAAACGGACCAGATAGATACTCAAGACGTGACTGCTTCAGAAACATTACTGATCCTGGGGAAGGAGTCGTTCACCTCAAGGCCAGATAAAAGCAAGTGGGTCTTTGTGGCAGCAACCACCAGGATGCAGCCATCCGTCAGCACCTGGAAGAGGGGCTGCAGCTGGGAACTATAAACATTCTCAAGGGCATCTGTAGGCTCTGTCGACAGCTGGGCTGAGCCTGCTCCTTCCAAGTCCATCCTCTCCGTGGGTCCACTAACCTCCCGCGCAGTGGGAGCTGCAGCATCCTGCACAGCTGAGGAATGAACGCTTGCTGCACAGCTCAAGCTGACGTGGTCTCAGCCTCCCGTTCTCACACATTGCTGTTCCCATCTGCACCATCAGGGTGGAATGGGGTTGAATTAAGCCCCTTTGTGACAAGTGGGCACACCGAGGTTCACTTAATTACTGACACTCAATGTTGGTGAAGCTCTTTTGTTACCCGCTCACAGTAGGGGTTTTCAGCAGAGCACCGTCTCAGGAGAAGCTACGTGGGATGCTAAACTGTGAGTCCCATGGCGTGTTTCAGGACAAGCAATACTGAGAGCTACCCAAAAGACAAGACAAGGCACTGCTTGTGTCACTCCCTTACGGCTGCTTTGAGACAGGATCAGTGTGTCAGCCACTTCCCTTTCTGCAAATAACAGAACCTTCCTGTCTGCAGAAGGTTTGGGGCTATTTTTAGACTTCTGAGTGATTTACTCTCCCCCTCCAGTGATAATGTGAGCCCTAGTGTAAGCAAATACCTGGAGCTGTAACTTTGTATTATAAATTTTCCTATTATAAAACACGAGCCCAACAGATGCAAAGGGCCAAGCTGTGTCCTGATCTGAGTTGTGTTTCCGTGCAATGGTTTAGCCAACCTAATTTAACAAGACTTAAGTGACACCATGACTTGAGTACAAAGGAGAAATCAGTCATGACAGCAACTTGAGAATAACTTCCCACATCGAGACTAGTTTGAAATAAAATTTATTTAAGAGTAAATGCAAAGTAATTTCCTAGCAGAGAGTATGTGTTAGCTGCAGCAGAATAGTTAGTGTGGAAAGTAATGTCAATCAGTTTTCCAGCTAGACAAGTCCTTGGGGAAAGAAAGAATATTTTCAGCCATTTACAATACAAAGAGAAGTAGCAGACCTTACTTAAATTCTTGCTGAGATTTCCTTCTTGAGAGAGAAACATTTCAACTGAAAGAAAACTAACAGATTGACATTGGACTGACAAAATGCAAGAGCCAGCCAAACCGTCTCTGTGATGAAAATGAGTCTCAAACCACTCAGGTAAGCAACTCTGGAGAAGGTTTGTACACCACCTTTAAAAAACCACTGCTGAGAAAGCACGCTGACACAGCTTCTGCAGGATGCTGAATCAGCAGCATCTTGCCTTGGTCTGGAAGGGACAGAAGGAATCACTGTGAGTATCGCAAACTTTTTGGGTTCTTTAACATTAGGATGTACTCCTCGTCCCCATGGCCCAGTGTCTTTGCCAAGAGGGATCAGACCATACACGGTTCTCCACAGTTAGATAGTTTATTAGAGCACTCTCAGGAACTGAAGGATGGAGATTTTGGACACATCTTTTTTTTTTTTTTTTTTTTTCTAGTCATATGTAATAAAGCTTAGGACTTGAAACTCAAAAGCAGGAGGAAATAATAGGCAGGCTGAGTCATCTCACTGATGAGTATCAGTTTACCAAACATGATTTACCAGCTAAATCCCTCAGGCTCTTTGAATTCGCTTTTATTTTTGCTGCCTGTAGAGACCAGATGAAGAGCACCTTGCTCTGCTACTGTGGTGGGTCACCCTTCCCAAAAGGGCACTGCACACCCTCGAAACAAACAGTGGACATGAAAGCCAGCTTACGCAGAGGAGCTCTTCCTTTCCCAACCCTGCTGTGGGGGACCAAGGGGCAGTACGCTGACCACAGGAAGCACAGTGTGGCCTGCCTTTCTTGGGCTCTTTGTAAAGTAGCTCCCACCTGTTCCCCAAAGAGCTTCTCCTCTGTGTAGGGTAAGTTCTCAAGTTTTGTTTGGACCTCCTCGTGGAGGCTGGAAGCTTGCAGCCAAGCAGACCACTGTATATCTACCCCTGAGGCAGCAGCTCTCGCCACCATATCCCCTGTGTCAAAGGCTGCTCGCACACCTGATGCCTGGCCAGCTCTGTGCCCTCAAGAACGACAGCATGGAAGGCCTGACACTGGTCCTGTGGAATATGTTTTGCTTGCACAGAAACTTTCTTCCAGAGCTCAACTCTGCGCTCTGGCCACATAGATTTGATAGTCCACAACACAAAGGGCTGGCAGCTGCCAAATGGTAAACCCTCTGTCCTAATGAATCCAGGTGTCGCAGTTCCAGGTTTTGGACTGCAGTACACCATGCTCCTGGGCTGCCTTCTCGCTCACCAATGCTGTCTCAACTACCATGCTCTTTTGTGCAGGTTGAGAGATGTAACTGAGCACATCCTCAGGTAGGACGTATGTTCTCTCAATTCCCTTTGACACAGGAGGAACAGTGTGGGGTGTCTGCCATACTTTCTTTACCAGCTTGTCCGAGATAGGATGCAAGGGCATGGCAACAGTATTGCAGGAGGGCTTTTGCTCCAGATACTGACCAGTGAGACTCCCTATTGACTCCTGGAATGGAATTTAATTAAATCCAACTAGTTTAGCCAATCTTTTCAAGAACTGGGGGAAAGATGGATTTGCTGATGTGGAAGTATTATCTTCTTGTTTTTCTGCTCTAAAATGGTAGGTAAGATCAGCCATATCATCCTCTCCAGAAGAATCACAGCAACAACCCTCATCCCTGGAAGCGACACCTGGCTTCTAGCTGGATGAGTCACAACCCACCATTGGCAAGGTGGGTGTGAGGGGACGCTTTCACAGGGGGATGATAGAGGCTGTGCTGGGACCGCTGGCAGAGGGAGCATTCGACTTGAGGTCATTGCTTCATCCAGTGAGAGAAACAGCTCTGGAGATCTAGAGGACATCCTTGTTTCCAAAAGCATCCCGACTGCACTGGAGCTCACAGAAGGATCTGCAGCAAGTTCTGGAAGTGGCTCTTTGGGGTCTTGAGGCAGCCTCAGCGATGAGGAGGGTGGATCTGGTCAGGTCAGAGAGCGTACCCAGACACAGAGATTCCCCAGGTTGTGGTTCCAGTTCTGATACCAGGTGGAGGGGATGGAGACTGAGGCACAAAAACGGCTTGAAGGTTGTGGCATCAGTGTTCGTGGGTTTGAAACTCTGGGCTTCTGTTTGCTTCTTACATGACAGTGCTTCTTCTGGGGAGGGGGAGTGTGGGGAGCGTGTGCCGTCGGGTACTGCAAAAGTTTTGCTTTGGGAAGGTAGCTCAGTTTTTGGAGACGACAACAGCAGGTCCTTCAGCAGAGCCACTCTCCCACGCTCTGGGGGAAGGCACTGCAGGGTTACCGGCTGTAGCGCTGGGACGGAGCCCTGGCTACCGGCAAGTAAGTTGAGCTCACGCCGGTGCCCGGTGGATTTCCTCCTTGCTGCCCCCCAGCTCAGGGTGCCGGCCTGTGCCACCGCCGCTCCGGACCTGCACCGGGGCACGGAGGTGCTCCCAGCAAAGGCGGGCCCCCCAGCAGCGCGAGTCGCAGGCAGCGGACACGGCGGTCGCGGCCCCGTGCGCCCTCCGCCGCGGAGCCCGGCAACCCGCAGCTCCCGGCGCCGCCCGCGGCCGCTTCCGTCCCGCCGCCCGCGGGAACTACAGCTCCCGGCAGGCAGCGCGCACGCGCAGTGGCTAGGCGGAAGTGGGCGGGGCGGCCGCCGCAAGCCCCGCCTCCTTTGCGCCGGCCGCCATTTTGTCACCGACTTTCACCCGCCGCCCGACGGGGCGTTTTTTTTTTCTTAAAGGAGAAGCGACAGCCAAAAGCGGGCCCCGCCGCTAGGCCTCGCCAGAACCGCCAGCGGCGCCGCAGCCCCGCGGCAGGGAGCGGCCGCGCGGGGCGGGGGGGGGGCGAGCGGCTTCCCCTGCCAGGCCTCGCCCGCAGGGCGAGGGGACCCGGGGGCAGCCGGAGGGGCGCAGGCAGCGGCGGCGGTAGGGAGCCCGGCGGTGCCGAGGGCCGGGCGGCGGACGGGCGAGCCGGGCGGCGGGCCGGCGAGGCGGCAGCCGGAGGGGCCGCGCTCGGGTGGGCGCCGCGGCGGGGCCAGCCGGGGGTGGGGGGTGGGGGTGGGGGGGGCACCCGGAGCGCGAGCGCGGCGGCCCGAGCGGCGCCTGCGCGGCGGGGCGCGGCCTTCTGGTTGGCCGCGCGGCAGCGGCGGGACGGGCCCCGCCGCAGCGGGGCCGGCCATTGGCCGGGCGGCGCGCGAGCGGCAGAGAAAGGCGGGAGGGCCGCGCGGCGGGGGTGGGGGTGGGGCCGGGGGGGCGGGGCCGTCCCTCGCCTCCCGCCCGCGGATTGGCGGGCGCGCGGGGGAGGTGGGTCGCCTGGCGGCCGCGCGTGAAGGTGGGCGGCGGGCGGTGATTGGGCGCGGCTGAAGCGGGCGGGGGAAGGTTTGGCGGGCGGGCGGGAGGGTGGAGCGCGTAGCAGCTGCCGCGGCCCCGTCGCTCGCCGCCCCGATGCCGGCGGGCATCGAGCAGCCGGGGGACGCCGAGGAGCAGCCACCCGTCCAGGGCCCGCCGGCAGCGGCAGAGAGGCCGCCGTCCTCGGGCCGCCGCCGCCCGCCGCCGCCGCCACCCGCCGCCGAGCAGGGGGAGGAGTCCGGCGGCAGCCGGGTGCTGAGGGGCGGCCGGGAGCGGGGCCGGGCTGCGGCCGCCGCTGCCTCGGCTGCGGGGGGAGCCGCCGCCGCCGCCGCCGCTGCCGCCGCCTCCCGCCGCCGTAAGGCTGAGTATCCCCGGCGTCGGCGGAGCAGCCCCGGAGCCCGGCCCGCCGCCGAGCAGCCCGCCGCCGAGACGCCGCCCGCGGCCAAGAAGGGCCCCCGGGCCGGGTGAGTGCCCTGCGGAGCCGGGCTTGGCCCCCGCCCTCCGCGGGGTCGGGGGTGGAGGAGCCACCGGGCGGCCTTTCCCCAGTCCTGCTCGAGTGGCGCCTAGGCCCTGGGGCCCGCCTCCAGCCGCGGGGTGCCCCCGCGCCTCCGCCTCTTTGTTCCGGGCCGAGCTGGGGCCGGCCCGTGGCCGGCCCCGCCGGTCTCTTCCCAGGAAAGGCAGTGTCCCGAGTGCTGCCTGCTCTCGGCAGCCCTGCCTATCGCAGCAGACGCGCCTTCGGTTGTAAGCGAAACCGTAAGCGCCTCCTGCGTGTGCCGCCTGCTGCGCAGCGTCCCCGGGGATAGCTGCCGCCTTCCTCGGTGCTCGGGCTCCAGCTTGTTTTGGCTCCGTATTCCAAGAGCCTCAGTGAGGGAGGTGGCGGGATTTAATTTCCCGTACGGAGGTGACTGCATCTCACTGCTGCTTTGTATCTGGCGTGGGAAACTAGCCACATGCATATGTAGTCTTGGGAGTATTTGCTAATGTAGCTGATCTGCCTTGTTCTAATGACAGAATCCCTCTCGTTTAGACATAACTATTGTGGACAAGACTGGACTTTTGCTGATGTATTAGTATAGTTCACCTAAGCTTTATCTGGATGAAATTATCTGTGTTGCTATAAGGAGTTGTAACCTGCGTTTTGAGAACAACGCAGTGGGTCTGTCCACAGTTGAGGATTAGGGCTCATTCTCCACATCATTCAGTTTCTCATTTCTGTTGTCATGCCATCGAAGCTGTCTCTTATGCTTGACTTTTTATTTTTCCAGGTGCACAGATAAAGCAGCTGGTAAAGGTAAGAGCTCAATTACTCCTGCTGTTGTATTCCATCCAGAAAGTCAGGGCTTTCCCACTAAAGTAGCCAGGACATCTGCTGGATCTTCCTTTTTAAAAATATTTTGTTGCTTGATGACATGCAGTTTCTTTCCAAGGTCTCTCTCAAGATTGTGGAACTGTGATAAGCTGCTGCTGATATTTGCACGTGCCCAACGTGCAAAAACTTACTCTTCCAAATAACCACTAGGGTATTATTTCACTGTCAGAAGTTGAGACCACACCGCACTGCAGTTTGACAGCTTTTGTTACACAGTGGTCCTGAGTAGCTGGCAAAACCTGGGCTCACATCTGTTCTGCTGCTGTCACAAATACAGGTGTAGATCCTCAAGGGACATGTGAAAGATAGGTGGTATTAAGAGTATGCAAATATTTACACTTGTCCTTTTCTAGCTTTAGTGGATGTTAAATTTTTTATGGTTATGTGTTCAGGGATGAAAAAGGAAAGTGATGAAGGGGAGAGAGTAGCTTAATGTGTCTAATCAAGAAAGCCCCAACTGTGGAGAGCTGCAGCCAGGAGCAGAACTTTTGTTCTTCCAGTGCAAACTGTGTGAACTTTGTGCCTCTATTTAAGGGCTTCTTGTACAAAAAAACCCCAAAAAAACTGTTAGAGGGTTTTGCTCTTTACCCGATGTTGACTTCTGAAACAGTTCCAGGTAAAAGGCTTTGTGTAGTATTGCTTTTGATCTGGGACTACAGAACTGTCTGAATGAAATAGTGAGCAAAGAAGCTCATACACCTGTGCAAAAGAATTCAGCTTTCTGCTGGAGCTGTTCAGTTCTTGTTTGCAGGCATTTGTGTCTTGAAGGCCACCTTTATTCTTGTAATTCCATAACTCTTTAAATTTATTCCTACAAGTCTATAGCTCTGTTCCATTTGGGTGCTGAAATCCATCACAGTTCTAGGTAGCAGTGTGTATTTTTGCAGACCAAAGCAGAATTAACCAATGTGTGTTTAGCACAGACCCCCTTTGTGCGCATTTAACTCTTACTGTGTAAAGGGTGGGCAGAGTATTGTAAGAGTTTTAGCCTTTTAAATCAAAGCAAAGTTGCCGAAATGTGTAAAAATGCATAGTGTTGTCACTTAATATGTGCATAGTGATAACATCACATTTTAATAGTGTTTCTCAGTGCTTTGGATATCCTTAAGCAGAAATGTTTATGTGGTAGTGGTGGAAAACAAGCAGAATAGTCCCATTTTACTCCAGTTTCTTGGGGCATGCTTGGAAATGGCAAATATCAGTCTGAAACTTCCCAAGTTTGGTGGCACTCTGCACTCTGGGCATTTTAGACTTGTAACTTTAGCCTCTCAGAGATTCAGCTGTCCTTGAACGTGAGAGTGGCAAAAGTATTTATTAAATTTCTTGGGCTCTTCTTTATTAGACTTGTAGCCAAAATGGATGGTATTAACATTTGCATGGAAATTGGCACTGACAAGCGATGACCACTTCTAGTCCAAAGGAAATCTGCCTCCATGATTTTTTTGTTTGTTTGTTTCTTGTTTAGTCTTTAAAAATGCAGAAGTGAGAAAGCTGTACTTCTGCGTCCCAGCTGTGCCCTGGATGAAGTCCTTGCTGCATGCTTGTGCTTATTGGGGAAGACATGGAAACACTGAATCGAGTATCTTCCTCGGACAGATCATGCGGTATGCAGGAGAGAAGCTTCCCTCCTGCTGCACCCCTTTTTGGCCTCTAGCATGAAATGTTTGAAGAAGCCTAATCAGGTGCAAGCAAACTGCAACTTTCCTTGCACAGCAGGGTTTTTGGTAGCTAGGAGTAATTCTGAAGGATAAAATACCGTTCATCATTTCACCCCTGGAGGGAGCTGGGTTGAGGAAGAAGTCCAGTAAAACTTCTGGGTGGTTCTTGCGAAGGCTTTGAATTTAGTGCTAGTAATTCACTGGTGTGAGTTCTGACATGGAATTTAATTCTACATGGTGATTTGTATTATACTATTATAATTTACTGTAAAGTACTAAATCCAGTTTAGAATATTAAATTTTCATGTGCTCAGCCATAAGTGTTAGCCTCTGTATACAGGGCAAATGGCCTGTGGAAGTAAGGCATGCCTGGTGATGCATCCTGTGTATCTATCAGAGAAATGAAAAACTTGCTTCATCAAAGTTTGCTCAGTAGGTTTTGTTGCCTTATATTTGGAATTATATTTTGAAGTAAAATCACCAGTGTTGCTGTTGGTAAAGAAAGCTTAGTGGTGATGGGTGTGATCATGGCTAAATTTGTGCTGTTGATTATAACCAAGATGCTATAACAGTGGAAGTGTTGCCAACTTTTACATTCTATATGGTGCCATGGGATCAGAGGGCTTTTCTGCTTGTTGAGTTGGGAGTACAGGCACAAAGGTCTGACTGTGCAGGACTGTTGGGAAGATTATGGGAAGGTTAAAGTCAAAGGTGGGTACTGTGTCAGAATTTGTGTGTGATTGTTGCCATGCTAGTGTGCACGAAGGCAGTTGCAAAGTCAGCTGTACCGATTGTATTTCCTGTCTTGTCTGCTTAGTCATGCAATTGCAATATTTCCCTAATGTGATTCTGTAGAAATATTAGTTACATAAGTAGAACATTTAATCTCAGCTTATAAATGAATTCATGTAGCTATAGTCAGACTGTGTAGTATAATTCACATTTGACTTCCTGCAATGGTGTATATTCTTGTGGAAATAATTTTCATTTTAGTTAGGCCTGAAAAATTTTAATTATTGGATTATAGATTTAATGAATACACTTCGTGTCCTCTATCACTGGATTGAAAATTCAGTGCTTACTGTGACTTTTAAAGTCATGTTAGCAGTCAAATATAACCAGCTTCTCCAATTTAATTTTATAGCCAAACCAATTTCTGACTCTATCCACCTTTTTGTAAGATTTTACCTCTGCTGTTCAGTAGCCACTTTTAAGAGTTTGAATGGAATCTTTCAACCAATTGCCGGTGAAAAAACAGGCTGTGTAGTTATTCTGGAGGGAGTTGTTGGAGTAGTGACTGAATATAAAGATGCCAGGTTTGCGCTTAGTGGTAGAGCCCTTGCATCTACTGTGTTCCCAAAACATATGTGCTTTGTCTTCAAGGTTTTAGAGCTGCAGGTTGCAAGAAGGTTACTTCTCCCACAGTAAGAAGAAAGAGGGTGGGATGGGAAGCATTTGTACAAACATAATATGCCATGAATAAACACTCAGATTACTGAATTTCCATGTCTCATGTTGCTCTGCTTGTGTCACACAGCTGAAACGTACTCACTGCAGACCCTTGTCTATGCAAGTTATTTTTCTTGCCTGTTTTTGTCTTGCAACTTTACATTGGTATTGATGCTATTTTGTAATGATAAGAATGAGATCCAACATAATTCCTTAAGCGCACATATAGGATACACAGCTATGTAGTAGTGCTATTAAAAGGTGGAAAGAAAGGTTTGTAAAACAGGGCCTTTATTTACGAAGCTTTTATTTACTTAAAAGCTACGATCAGAAGGGATGCAGTGCCATGTGCAGTCTGTTGGAAGTCCGTTCTCAAATCAGTTTTTTGCACAGCATGGGACTAGAGGATGATGCCAGCAGAATTTACAGATTTCTTCAGCTCATGGTTATAGAAACTCTGCATTTCTAGAAACGGAGTCAGGTGTGAAATACTTCTGTTATATATTCACACAATTGGAGAAGTATCTTGGTCATTTGTTCTGTGATATATGTTTTTTTTTCCCCCAGTCTTTCCATATGAAGCTACTGTACTGCACTTTGTGGGTGGCTGCTACTGCAGCCATTCTCTCACCTTAGTGGCTTTCAAGCTGTGATTTGAAGGCTCAGGGGAGCGGGGAGGTCAGAGAGCTGTTTCTTCAAGGACTCTGAAAGGAAATGAGTGGGAAATACGAGCTTTTGCTGTAGCAGTCCACTTTTAACTGCTAGAAAAACTGTAAGGTTTCACAGATTAAGAAAAGTTGGAAAACGTTAAGACTCTAATTGTACAAAATGGTTTTGTAGCATAGATAACTCGCATTATACCTCATCATTTGTATTCTTAAAGCTTCACGCTTCTGTGGTAATGATTGCTTTCCCTTAAGACTTCATCAGTGTTTTGAGAGACAAATGTCACTACTTAAAATCAAACCTTAGAAAAATGTTCTGAGTTTAAATAGCTTAGATTTCCCAAACCTACTTTTACTTGTATGAGGATTTTCCTGTGTCCCATGTGTACAGTTTTCACAGCTCTTTGGCAGGGGAGGAGACATTTGGATAAGCGGTTTACACTAGGATTTTTTTTCCTGAGTTTCATTTTGGTCTATGTCAGTATAAAATTGTATGTTCAGTGCCTTATCTGTTGTGTGGTTATTGTGTTAAATCCAAGTCGCAGTCTGAGATGTGTATATGTTGTGGTGCATTTATTTTCATAACAGTTATTTTGTAACTTAATAGTTCATGGTTTATTTTCCTATTTTTATTTCCTCTCAATTGTACATGGGTATTTTCTGAAAGTGTCTACTTGGCAGGGTTAGTAAGAAGCTGTCAAATGCTTTATAAATCAAAAGTTTATGATATTTCTTGTTAGTAATCAACAAACATTTGTAACAGTTGAAAGCTTCATTTTTCTATGCATCAAGAGTAAAGTGGCAGGGGTATTTGTTATTGTTACGTCAGAAAAAGAGAGGAATCTGTTACTGCAGCAAGCTTACCTCTGGGCTGCAGGCTGAAAGGGGGTTGATAAGTAAAAGCTTGAACATCTGAACAAGTGTGGCAGGTTAAAAGTAGATGTGGAAGTACCAAACAACTCCCAGTTCTGGGACTAATTGAGTGGATTTTTGAGCTGCCAGTTATAGCAGGACTGGCGCATAGCAGTGCACCAGTTATTAAAGGCAGGTTTATGCCAAGTCTGAGTTGTGCTGTAAGCAGCAGCAGCAAGAAGCTCTGCTTCCAGAGGGTTTCCATCCTTCGTCCCCAGTGAAACCTGAGGATAGCAAT